TCTCTCTCTCTCTCTCTCTCTCTCTCTCACTCACTCTCTCAATCATAAACACTGAGTTATTTGTAAAATATTATTTAAAATAATTAATTATAAAATTACAAAAATTACCACAATCATGAAAAAATATACCCAACGAAACGCGTCACTCGGCTGGTGGCTAATAAAAAAGAGCATGGTGGAAAACAACAGTGCCGTCCCAACCAATATAGGTATTTCAATAATAAATTTGCTCCAATAGTAGGCGCCGGTTGAGTACCACCCGTTGCGGTGTTCGTTGAGAAATACGCGCACTTCGACCGGAAATATGAACAGGTTTTTAGCCAAAGGCATGGCTCCGACCGCGAAGTTGGCAAAAAACAAGAGCTTTACGTTTTCGGCCACTGCCGCCCCTTTGGCCGCCAATAGTAACGCCCGGCCGGCGACGGAGGGCTGGGCTTGAGTTGTGTTGCGCCCGACTGTGGGTATCCATCGGTCAATACATGGCGTGCGTTCACCCACATGGAAGTCGTACAGATAGCTGAGCGCTACGGAGGCTATCATACAAAATGTGCACAGCGCCAGGTTCGCCATCCATTGGTGTCTGACCTTCATGTTTGTTATTTTACCAAACAAATCAGTGTGGGTGTGATCATGTAAAAATTAATTACTAACTAATAATTAATAAGTTAAAATGAAATGATATTATATTCATATAGTTCTGGGCAGAGTTGGCGTACATACAAAGCGCACAAAACCCCGTAGTGTCAGGTAATATAAATGATAGAAATTAAACCACAATTGCTTTCCGGCCATTGATTTAGAAAGTAATTGTCCGTCTCGTCGACACTCGTCTCGGATCTCAATTGACGCGCGNTTGGCGTACATACAAAGCGCACAAAACCCCGTAGTGTCAGGTAATATAAATGATAGAAATTAAACCACAATTGCTTTCCGGCCATTGATTTAGAAAGTAATTGTCCGTCTCGTCGACACTCGTCTCGGATCTCAATTGACGCGCGTTTTGTTTTCTCAATTAGTTTGTCGATCGCATCGCCCGACCCTTCAATTTGTTCGCCTAAACACTAATTGTTGAATTTATATGAAAATTAACAATTTATTTAATAAATTTATTTTATTTTATTAATTTTGCACACTATATAGAATCTATTAGTTTACTATAAGTAGGGCAACTATTTTTAATTGCAAACTTTTTAAAAATTTATATATAGTATATACAGTATTTAATTTTATTGTAAAATTTATAAAATAAAATTGTTACCTCAACAGATCTTTCAATATACCCATGACCAACTGTTAACAGAGCTTTGTTTGGAAATTTAGATGCAATCTTCAACATGAGCTCAATTGGGGCGAAATCTGGTGGACAGTCGACTCCGCAGCTGTTGAGATGTGCCCTGAGCTGAGCGGGCGGTCCGGCAAACACACAATGACCGCCCTTTGAGAGGACGTACAACCGGTCAAACATCGACAGTATTAATGAGTTTGGCTGATGTATTGACGTCACGATTGCCATCGAGTGCTTCTCTGTCAGGCGTTTTAAACACTGAATTACCTAAATATACATAACAAAACAATAAAAATTAATTATATTTAATTTTGATTAAAACAATTAAATACAATTTCAGATGAATTGCTATCTAAACCACTCGTCGGTTCGTCAATGCATAGGAGGTTAGGCTTGATTTGTTGGACTAACTCCAGGCCAACAGTCAGGCGCTTCTGTTCGCCACCACTGCATCGCTGGACAGTTGTGTCCGCGCAGTCCTCCAATAGTAGTTCAGACAATAGACGCCTCACATTCATGTTGTGATCAAAGTGGCCGTCGATGTCCAGCGGCTCCGACTCAGGACCATCGGACACAAACCCACTCGTGCCTGACGTCAGGGTAGTTTTGTCGCTCTCAAACTGTCCAGACTGAGCGATATTGTGTCCGCCGCTGACATCGTATATGTGTCCACTGGTCACCCTATTCTTGATCTTTGACGCAAATAATAGTGATTCTCTGTCCAATTTATTAAACGTGATACATTTAAACTATTATTACTTACAACATTTAAGTTTTATGATTCATATAACTATATTTGAACTATTTTTTTGTATAGTTTATATAAAGTAGATGTAAAAATAAATACACTGTACATGTTAACAATAAACTGTTAAATTGATTATGTTTTTCCTACCCATAGCAACCATAAACTGTCAGTAACTTAACATAGTTTTAAACTTAAACAATAGTAATTATTAACACAAAAATTAACTAATGTTAAAATCTAGTTAGTTTGTAGATTTAGCACTAACCTAATAGTAAGTCCTATTAATATGTGTTCATCAAGCGATTGCATTATGAAAGCGGTCCGCAATTGAGTGGTTTTGCTGCCAAACAACTGGGTTTGTGGACTGAGTCCGGCGTTTGAGCGCATATTCACGCACTTCAATAGCGTTGACTTTCCCGCACCGGACGGACCCATGAGTGCCGTCAATGTGTGCACATCTATGCGACCGTTCAATGCGTGCAAAATAGTCTTCGGCACACGTTTTCCACTAAAATGCCAACTCTTTTGGCCGTAACTTAAGTCACACCAACCCATAACCAACTCATGGTTAGTGTACTTTAGATTTTGTGCTGTAGATTCGCTCTAAATTGTCCGTGATTAATAGTATAAACTATTTTTAAAATTATATTTTTAATTATTAGAAATTTATATTTTATATGTTATTATTTCTTACACCGATTTCTGGCTTAACCATCGTGATTAATATAGATTATGTTAATTAATACATGTTAGTTACACATTAGTTAATGTAAATTAACATTTGTTTGATAAACAGCATTAATAGCTCGCATTTTTATTTGAATAATAAGTAATAATTTCAACAATTATAATTACTTGGAACTAATTATAAACAGCCGTTTTGTATTGTATTTGACATTAGCTAACATTATGTCATAAATATAATATTTTGTTGCAGGTATTTTATATAGTTTTAAACTAATATTAAGATTTATTGTAATACATTTAAAATTTATTAATAATTAAATATTAGTATTATTTACGATTTTTAATTTATGAGAATTAAATATCCATATTAAACATGTAAACACAATTAATACTAGCATTTCTCTCTCTCTCTCTCTCTCTCTCTC